AGCACTAGACAGCCAGATGTCTCAAGTTTTGTGTGACGGTTAGTATTCGTCACTATGTCCGAGTGGAACGCGGTACAACGTGCCTTCGCGGTAGAGACGTTTTTTAAGAGTGGTAAATCGTACATAAAAACGATGCGTGCGTTCTGTCGAAATTTTAAGATTTCACCTCGCAAACCAATACCAAGTCGAAATGCCCTGAAGCTGTAGGTTCATAATTTTCGTGAGAAAGGTTCTGTACTTAAATCGAAGCATCCGGGGCAGCAAAGATCAACTCGAACCCCAGAAAACATCGAACGCGTGCGCTCAGCTTTTCAAAATAGTCCGGAAAGATCTCATCGAAAACACGCCGCAAGTCTCGGTATGAAGGCTTCAACGATACGTCGCATACTTCATGATGATTTAAATTTTCACCCGTATAAGATATTAATGACTCAAAAACTTCTGCCGACCGATCCAACCGCCAGATTGAATTTTAGTCAACGCTTACTGCTTGCAATCGAAGAAAACGACGTGCCTCTGGATAAGATTTTGTTTACCGATGAAGCGCATTTTTATCTTCATGGCGATGTTAACAGTCAAAATATGCGCTACTGGAGCGACGAGAATCCATGCTTGCTTCAAGAAAAACCTCTTCACTCCCCTAAAATAACCGTGTGAATGGGAATCGCTTCGTTTGGTCTGATCGGGCCTTATGTTTTCGACGCCACGGTGAACGGAGAGAGGTACCGAACCATGATAAAAGAGTTTCTCCTACCCGAATTGCGACAAAGGAGGAAATTGAAATCTACATGGTTTCAACAAGATGGAGCCACATGCCATACTGCTAACGAGACGATGACGTTGTTGCGAAAACATTTTGGAAATCGGATAATTTCGCACAACAGTGAAATCAGCTGGCCACCGCGCTCGCCAGATTTAGCGTGTTGCGATTTTTTTCTTTGGGGTTTCCTGAAGTCCAAAGTGTACGTCAATAAGCCTAGAGACTTGGAACACCTTCTAGCCAACATTCAGCGTGAAATTCGAGCAATCACCCCAGCCACTTGCCAGAAAGTGATCGCCAACTTCAAAAAACGATTGGAAAACTGTGTCAAAAATAGGGGTGGTCATCTGAGCGACATAATTTTTAAAACTAAGTAGCTTTTTTGTACGTGTTTGAATTAAATAAAAATTGATCAATTTCTGCATATTTTCGTTAAAAAAAAATTGATTTTTGATCATTTGTTCCGGAGTTATCGCGATTTGTAATGTGTCAGATTACTCTGGCGCACCCTGTATATATAGATATATATACATATATACGAGGGTGGGGTGAAAAGTTTCCGGCCTAAAGAAAAACAACTTTATTCGTTTTTTTGCTTTATTTTTCAACATAATCTCCATCAAGATTAATACATTTTTCATAACGGTGCTCTATTGCAGTGATATCATTTTTATATTCCGATATGTAAAGTCCCTCAAAATACTCATTAACAGCATTGATGACTTCCTCGTTGCTCTCTAATTTTTTACTTTCGAGCCATTTTTTAAGGTTAGTAAACAAATGATAGTCGCTGGGGACTAAATCTGGTGAATATGCTAATTGGAGGAACAATTCAAACTTCAATTCGTTGATTTTAGCCATCGCAACGACCGACGAATGGGCAGGTGCGTTGTCATAGTAAAACAAGATTTTTTCTTTGCCAAATAAGGTCGTTTATTTTTCACTTTGTCCTTCAAACGCTGCAATAACTCTGCGTCGTATTGACCAGTGATGGTTTTACCCTTCTCCAGATAATCAATGAAAATAATTCTTTTCGCATCTCAAAAAACAGTTGCCATAACCTTATTCGCCGATAAAATTGTTTTTGCCTTTTTCGGGGTTGGTTCATTTGGTCCAATCCATTGTTTCGACTGTTGTTTACTTTCAAGAGTGTAGTGGTGAATCCAAGTTTTATCTACAGTTATAAATCGACGCAAAAATTCGCTGGGTTTCGCTTGTACAGGGCCAAATTTTTGATTAAAACAGTTTTCCGGGTGAATTTTTGATCGACCGTTAGCAAACGTGGCACCCACCTAGCACAGAGCTTCCTTATGCTCAAATGTTCATGTAAAATATTGCGTACACGTTCAGTTGACATCTTAGTAACTTCAGCTGTCTCACTTACTTTTAATCTGCGGTCCTCCATCACTATTTTATGAATTTTTTCAATCATTTCGGGAGTTGTGACCTCAACGGGACTTCCTGAACATGGATCGTCAGAAGTGCTCGTGCGACCTTTCTTAAATTCAGAAACCCACTGTTTAACCGTTGAATATGATGGAGAAGAGTCTTTCAGTGTTGAATCCAGCTCTTCTTTAATTTGTAATGGTGTTAGGCCTT